CATCCAAGGACAGATCAGGCATGGAACCTCCTGGCAGCAATGCTGGTGCCTCACCTGCAACCTGTTCCCTCACCTTTGGTTGACTAGCTTACTAAACGTAAAAACTGCTGGGCTTTGCAGGCAAAAGACCAGGCGTAGAGCCGTACAATTCCGCATGGAAGCCGCCTCCATGTTCGGCAGTGCTGTTAGAGATAGCCAGGGTGGAGGCAGCTGCGATCGCAATGCTTCCTCCTGTGCGAAGGCCTCCTCCATTGCCACAGGCTGTGGCATTCTGAATATTGACGTCCGAGCTCTCGTTGAGTAGCAGTCTCGCGGACACACTGATCCCGCCGCCATCTCTTGATGTTGCGTGGCAGTCGGAAGTCTGGACGTTGGACCAACCGGTAATTACGGCACGTCCAATTACACTAATCCCTCCTCCCCATAAGCGCGCCGTGGCATTTCGAACACGCAGAGCTGAGCCGTTCGCAACAACCAAAGATTCCGAGCCAGCACTGAAGTTGGCTGCGTTCACACCTCCTCCGCTATCTCCTGCCGATGCGGTCTGCAGGTCGATTGATGAGTTGCCCTCGAGGTAGAGTTTTGATGTCTGGAAGCCTCCACCACTCCCCTTGATGGCATGGCTGTCGGATACCGTAACCTCGGAGTGCCCGGCGACCAGTGCGAGGTCCTCAGCCCAGAAACCTCCCCCGGACCCACCCGTCTGGGTGCTCGCGATGCGCACCGCCGATCGGGCGGTCACTTCCAAACTCTTGGTCCAAAAGCCTCCGCTGTTCTTTTTGGAGGTGCTATTTCGAATTGTGATGAGCGAGTTGTTGGTGACCAAGACGCCCTCGCGAAGTGCGAAGCCACCCGAATGTGAAGAAGAAGAGGCCGTGTTGCGAATTCTGATTTCTGAATTGTCGACGACCAGCAAATCTCCACGCCATGCCGCGAAGCCTCCTGCTTGGAGGCGTGCTGCAGTGTTGGAAATGCTGATGGTTGATCCGCCTGTCACATGCACAGCAGCCGATGCACCGACAAGCTCCTGTGAAACTTCGAAGCCTCCACAGCACCCACTCCTCGCAGAGGAATCGCTAACCGAGATCTGAGAGTTCTTCGCAACCACAACAGGGCCATATGACGCGAAGCCTCCTCTGTCCTCTGCGGCTACCGCTCTGCGAATACAAATTTCCGAGCTGTTGGACACGAGAACCCCGCGCTGGGCTCTGAATCCTCCAATGTGTCGAGCAGCTGTGACGTTCTCAAGAAAAACTGCCGAGTGATCGATCACTTGCAGAGTAGATGCCGAAAAACCTCCTGAAAACTTCGATACATGGCTTTCTGATATTTGAAGCGTTGAGTTGTTTGCGATTAGCACCTGTCCATTAGTCGCAAACCCTCCGCCATAAAGTGCATTAGTGGCATGGATGCTGACCATCGAGCTATTGGCAAGAAACACGGAAGCTTCCGTGTTGTGGTGCCCAGACTGTACATAGAAGCCTCCCCCTGATGCGTCTCCGCTGGTTGAACAGTTACGGATCATGATGGCTGCATGGTCGGAGACCTCCAATCCGTTAGTGAAAAATCCTCCGCCACTTCCTATGCCTCCATGGCAATCCGTAATCCGTATTTGCGAATGGCCGGTCACCAGGACATTGGTGTTTGCGCCTGTCGCGGCGAAGAACCCTCCCGCTTGCACGCCAGCAGTTGCGTTGCCAATGTCGATGTGGGATCTATTTCTTACCAGCACGGTGTCTTTTCTCCCTCCACCGAACATTAGGAAAGCACCTCCTGCCTTGTAGGCGTAGACATTCCGAACTCTGAGGGTCGAGCCATCCGAAACCTGCAAGCTGCCCGCCAAACAGAAGCCCCCGCCGTGTCCTGCCAGCGCTTGGCTGTCGGAAATCATGATCTTGGAAGAGATGGCAAGCACGATACTTCCCTGGGAATGAAATCCGCCGCCTTGCTCGGCGATCGTGTTTTCAATGCGAAGTGCTGAGCTGCTGCTGACGGTCACCACATCGGTTTCCAGAAGGCTTGCCAATAAAGAGTTGCTGCAACCGCATGCATAGAAACCTCCTCCTTTCCTTCCAGCAGTGCTGTTTTGGATGCCAACCACAGCACTGCTGGACACTTCTAGGAAGGCTACGTAGAAGCCTGCACCATACTTGGCATGACTATCAGAAACCAGCACTTCAGAGTTGCCCCGGACAAGAGCCCTGGCTCGCGACGCCATGAACCCTCCTCCTGATCTTCCAGCTGAAACGTTCTGAAGCCTGATAGTTGAACCATCATCGACTTGCAGGCGACTCCGAGAGAAAAATGCCCCGCCATCATATTTGGCGGCATGGCCATTTACAACCGTGATCTCAGACATACTTGCAACGATGACCGATCCTGCAAAAGCGTAGAATCCTCCTGCATACTCCTCGGCCCTGACATTCTGCATATGAATGCCGGATTTGTTTGTGACTTTCACATATTTTCCCAGCGCGAGGAAGCCTCCAGCACTGATTTCTGCGCTGGAATTGCTAATGTGGATGGCCGAGCCATCAGTCGCAAGCACGCTCCCGTTGACTGCAAAACCTCACGGGGTGCCAGAGTAACGAGGGAACATCGGACCCTGCAAAGAACAAACACTCATGGCACACACTCACTGCCCGTCCCCGTCTTCAGTTACGTTAAACAACATGCGCTGTCCTGAAAGCTGCGAGGTCCTACGAACAATGGCCGAAACGCGTGGAAGCATGTACGGACCGGAAACCTCCTCCTGATCTTACGGCATGGGTGCGCTCGAGGTCGAGATTGCCAGCTGCCATACTCAGCATACCCTCTGCCATGAAGCCCCCTCCTGCTGCAGTGCGTGGGCTTCAGGCGGCACATGTTGCAGCGTTGTGTTCCTAGCCATCTTCATGCCCTCAGCCTGTCGGGACTGATGCTTCCTAAGGTTTGCACCTATGTGGGGACGCGGCACGCCTGCACAGTAACCAGACCACATCTACTGTATCAGACGGATTGTTGGACGGTGCACTTCCCTCCTTTCACTCGCGTCAGTAACAATAGGAGCAGACAGTGCTGTTTCCGGCGTGATGACGAGAACGTGCCCTGCTGCTGCGTGTGGCAACCTTGAGCCCTCAACCTGGAAATCAAACCCTCTTGCCCAGACTGTCAGACATCCAGACGAACTCAAAGAGAAACGGAAGGACAGTCCTAATCCTCCAGCTCGGGTTTGCCGGACTCGCACCAGCGATCTTTCCTTGCCCACAAGGGGTTTTGGGACGTCAATTCAGTTCGTGCTAATATCTCGCTCCGAGAATCCTGAAGCCTCCTGATTTTTGATGTTTTGCAGGGGCAGATCTTCGGCTACATAGTCAAGACCAGCATAGCTTGAGGGCATACGGTTGAGCTTAGCTTTCCGTCGTCTTTCGGCCGTCCTCTCTACAGACATGGCAGACAAACAGACACGCAGCTACTTGCCCGTTGGTGGCGGCACTGGGGCCCGCACCACCACGACCACCTTCCAGTGGTGTATGGGGATAATGGATAGGGCGCAGGGTTCTTCAGGGCTTGTGATTGTGTAGCCTTAACTTGTTTGGTACTCCTCGTGCTCGTGGCTCTAGGACATATATGCAAAAATAAGGCTGAAGGGCTTGCCTTCGTAAAAAGCCATCCCTCTGTCTCGGGTTAAGCTTGTGGAGCAAGGGTGTGTGCAAATGCGTCCGGCGCGTCTTGAATACAGTATAGCAGGCGAAATTGTCTTAACCCCGAATGTGCCAATTTTGTCTGTTGCCAGCTCCCCAAAAACCCAAGCCCTCCTCTACAACCCTGCTTGAAAGTCACAGAACCTCCCAAAACCTAAACCTCATGTGTTTTGCGCAGTTCGAAATGCCTGCAGCCGCTAAACCACTGTAAACAAGAAGGTCAGGCAAATCCCAAAATTTCAATCGTCGCTCTCCAACATCCCCACACTTCTGAACATGCCGAGTGATTCATTCGGTGTGTGTATATATATATATATATATGTATGGTATGTGCATGTAGATGCAGATGTAGAAGTAGATGTGGATGTATGTGTATGGTTGTATATGTGTACATAGAATACGGCTGCGTAGCTGGACGAAGGAGAATACGTAGTGGGAAACTGGATCTGGGGTTTCAATAAATATTGGGTCCAGGATTGGTAAGGCTTTGAACTTGGGCATCAGGATTTCGCACAGGTTCGGGGACGCATTGGGGAAAACAACGAAAGGGGGATAACACCAAGTACTCCTGTAGCGTCGGGCTCCTGCATTCATCACCTCAACCACCAGCCCAATCGCGCAGGCAAAGGATACGAAGTGTAGCGAGGATGCGGGCACGAAGCAAGGACAGACCCAAGTGCTGCTTCAAGCTGTTCTGGCCTCACCGTTCGCGAAGAAGCCTCCACCTCGTGCCGCCGATGTTGCCTCCACAATGATTTGGGACACGCCTCGAAGACGCCTCTCAGGAAGGGCGGCCCAGCTGTCAGAGGAGTATCAACAAAAGACTACGACTCCTTATAAACCTACCTCCTGCAGTCGTACCACAACAAGTGCTACCCGCTAGACAGATACAACTATCACACCAGAAGGAGTGAAAACAAACCACCACCAGCACCAACACCAGCGCCGGCGCACAGCCATCGTCTTTGTAAAAAACACTATTTTTCTCACCAACCATGCTGCTGCTGCTCCAGCTAGACGGCGAGCTAGACGGCTGCCACAGACAGTTTCAACCCTCCGGCAGTCCAAAGATTTGAATTCACGGTCAACCTAACGACAACCCATAAGTCTATAAAGTCTACGGCCGTCTGAGGCGCTGCAACCCGGTCGCTATTTCAGCCAGGTGGCACTGTTCCTGCTGTATGAAAGCCCCCACCGTCCTCGTGTGGTGCATCATGGGCACGCTCTGCCCTCATCTCTTGTTACAATGGGCTTTGGGGCTTGAAACAACGACCCGAAACCTCAAGAAAAGATCCCAAACCCTCCGTCCTGCACTGCCACGCTACCGACGACCTTGAGAAGCGAGGCCTCGACGAGCGTGAGGTCCTCGGAATTGCACTGAATGAGTCCAGTCGGCTCTATTATGAGCAGTCTGATGATACTCAATCCCTACAGAGCCTCTGCCAAGTTAACAACTTCTTAAAACTTCCACACAAATGCCTTGCAAAACTCCGAGCAATGACCTCAATTTCGGTGCTTCTACCTACTCAAATCACCAGCACAAGCAGAAAGAACTATATGGCACCCCATCGTCTATATCACTAAGGCCCCCTCCATGCGCAGTGTACCGCATTGCAAACACCATGACTCTTTTGGCGGCCCTAAACCTGCAAGCAATGCTGAGGGTCTGAGGGTGGTAGTAACTTGGTGTGAGTATTACCATGTTTGCAAGCAGCTCGCACCTACGACGCGCGAAGGCAGAGCAGATAATGCGCGAACATGCAAAAGCGAAAACACTGGCAGGGCTCAACACGGCGCAGCAATTCTCACGTCTGAGCAGCTATATCACGAAAAGCCCGTCAGGATGGCAGATGCCATGTCCGGAGTTCCGATTTTGTGAAGCTGTCTTTAGGCAAGCATGTGGCCCTTCAGTTCTTCAACTGCATCGAACTTTGTTGTTCAGGTTCTGTGACTCCCCATCACAAAAATGCACTGCTGTACTTCAAAATACCACACGACTGGATTCGGCTGGATCATACGGACGTGGGTGGGTGACAGCACGTGAGCAATCATTAACCGTCAATGTGAATATCCCTATAGACTCGTTGCAGCACAGCGTCGCCACCAGCAGCCAAGCCACCACCCCAACGAGCTCCGCCACCTGTTACCTGCGTTTTCAGTGCCCACGTCTCGAATTCCCCTTCGTGAGCACAATCGAAATAGCGAAACAATGTTGGGACATGCGCAGGGTGGAAGAGAAGAATGTAAGGGGAACGTTTTCAACCAGCAACCACGTCTGACACTTCCTTTTCTTCGTCTCCACTAACCATGAACCAATGAACCCTAAGCCTAAACTCATAACTTGCCTTGACACTGAAACCAATAACTAAACCACGATGTGGCGATTAGGCGAAGCGGCTGTGATGTTCGACCTTTCCAGCGTAAAGGCTCCTGCGATGTTAAACAAGACTTTTTCCCAACAGTCTTTCGTTGAGGCACCAACGTTTGTCGGAGATCCACACTCGCTCGTGCACACGGAAAGCATGCATGTTGTGCCTGACAAGTCCATATTCTAGTGTTTTGAATAAGACAGTTGACGCATTAACTGCAATTCGCACGATTCAATCATCTCGGCTCCTCTGCTGTGGAAGGTACCGCCGCCTTGAGCGGAACTGTTTGGCGCACTCTGCTTCGTCTCCACCTGGGCGTCCTGAAAGAAGATGCTCCTCGGTATATTCCAGCCAGCTAGTTAATTCCTATCTATCGGCTGATGTTGCTTCTCGGGACTTGAACATGTGGGGCGATCACATCTAAGCCAACTGGCACGATGAAGGCTTCTGGGCAGAGGGGGATACAAGAGGTGCTCCAAAGGCCTTGTCTCGAGGATACACTGTGGAACATGCGCCAGGACTTACTATGACGCATGTGTATATGGCACTTTCCTAAATGTAGTCCCTGTTTGGATCACTAGGAGATTATGACGCGCTAAAGGACACTCAAATGAATATCCTCCACGACCATGGGCTTGACTAGATGCCTCCAAAAGCTTAAGATGTTCCGTAGTCCCTGCAATGCATGTTGAAACAAGACTGATCTGAATTAACCTGTTTCAGGCAAGGGCGCTCTGCTTCGAAGCGCGCCGACCTCACGCGTAGGTTGCCGGTGATCCGCAAGCTGCCTTCCGTCTGAAGCGTCACGAAGCCATCGCCAAGGAGCAGTGAGGGTTCCTCACTGTTGCCAGGCCCCAAAAGCTCGCAAACAGAGGCAGTTTGCGGCCTCAGCTGCAGGCTTCAGGGTTCAGGCTTTGGGTCGTTGTTCTACCACTGCCGGGCTTCTTGCAGCTCTCAACTTGAATCAAAGCAGGCGGCTGAATGCGGAAGCACCTGCCCACCGGCAGCTGATGGCCACAAAGGTCATCCCATTGGACCAGTTCGCAATCCTGAGGCCAAGAGGGTCACCCTCCGCAGTCCCGGCAATGCATTCACCATCCGGCGAACCCCCGGCATAACAAGCCAAGACCTCGGGTAACCCAGCTGGTAAACCCCAAACATCGAAAACTAGCATTCAACCACGCAGAACGGCACAAGCAAATTCAAGACGTCGGCAGACCTTCACGAATCGACCGACCCGACGACACGCCCTTCCTGACACAATTTGTTGATTCTGCCTGTGTCTTCTTTGCTTATGTGATTCCCGACTGGCTATAAGCTCCAAACACAAACATTGATATATATATATATATATATATATACACACTTTAGACTGACACAACCGAGCCTTAGACTTCAACCCCAGGCCTCGGTACTCCACTGCAGACGCCGCCCCGGTATCTCAGAAGCCGGTGCTGGGCCTGGGATTTGCTTCGGTCGGTTTCAATATAATTTCCACACCCCACCCTCCCGACAGTCGCCTGAATATTG